CGGCTAGTTCTAGCTAGCTACGTACTACCCGTAGTCTCAGTTTTTGCCTAGAAGAGGCCTTTCATTCACTGACTGACTGACTGACTGGCTGACTGACTGAGTCCCGTTGTTGAAACGCATGTGCGAGGAGTCTAACTAGCCGAATTTCAATCTTGCTACCCTTAGCTAGCAAGCAGCGAGCAATACCAGGGACATTCTGTGATATACATGCATCTGCTGACACTTATTTAACAAATGCTATGCAGCAGAAGGCGGTCTGGAAAACTCGGCTTGCCTAGTTGCCTTGTTTTTGGCCACAAGCTTTAGAAAACACACACTTTTTCACAGCAAGATATAATCACTGGATTGAAAACAGTTGAATGTACAATGCATTTAAAAGTTATTAAAGAGTTTTTCAAGCAGCTAGAAGTGAGTAAACAAGCTAATCTCACATGTTTGCTGATCGGCTTTGGGCAATTGCACACTTCATATAATACACAAATTATATGAATTATATAGATTCTTAAATTATGAACTAAGTACTTTGTATTACATTTTGATAAATGAAATAAAAACAGAGGGTACTGGAATTTTAAACATTAAACCAATAGGCACGACTGTGGGTTTGTCCATATCAATGTATGCTTAGTAAATGTAATGCTGTGCTACTTTCACTGGCAGGAAGACAGCTGATTTCATTTACACCTTCTTTTTATGAACCAAACTGACAATTTCTTCAAAGTCTAACTGCATCTGTGCTTTGGGACAGCTTTTGTACTGCTACACTACACTACATAGTTCTCAGATCAGGTTTGTTTATAATACTAAACTAATGTGACTCCTTCATCCATTGCTCTCTCTCTCTCTCTCTCTGGCTCGCTTTCTAATTGTTCCACTAATCACGCTCCATCTCCTCCTTCCAGCCTTTTTTTCCTTTCTCTCTTGGTGTTTAGAGAAAAAACATGTATACATGACAAAATTCAATAATTTAATTTGGGTTTCCAGAGAAATACGGAGTGAAAAGACAGACAGAATCTAAAGCTGAGCCTTTAAAAATGAGCTTTTGTCAAAGTCTAATCAGCATTATCCCTCCCTCCCACACACACACACACTCTCTCTCTCTCTCTGTCTCTCTCTCTCAATTTCAATTTTAATTACATCATGCTTTGTGGGAATGACAAGAAATAATATTGTTAAAACTTGAGTTGCCATGGTATGTAAATGCTTAAGGGAATGTAATAAAGTATGAAATTTGAATGAAAATACAAAAAACTTGAAATGATGTAAAAAAAAAAAAAATTAAAACTAGCCATTGCAATATGAACAGTATGAAGCAAATATAAATAAATAGATAAATGGTGTAGTAGTAAATGTCTAGCTATGTTTCCATGCATGCATGAGAATTACTATGTAAGAACACTGGACCAATCACATTTGAGATTAGAGGATGACGTGCGAACTGGACAGTTTTATTGAGACTCAGACACTCGGATCTTCCTGTGACAAATGCGAGCTAGTTTACTAGCTACTCGCTAGCTATTTATGATGGCAGGATGACTTTGAACCCTCTGTGTTGTAGCTACGGCTGTTTCTAACTATAAGCGGTATTAGCAGTTGCTTAGGGCCCGAGCCACCAGGGGGCATCATAAGAATGCAAGAATTTTATTTTTAATATTGTAATAATATCGTTTGGTGATACGCGACGGTGAGCTACACAGAACCATTAACCCTACATTCACGCTAGCAAGCAACAAAGCGACAGGCGACCATCATCTATGTATTCCCATGACATGGAGCTGCGATTTCAGCCTCAGCACCAGGTCACAGCACATGTGATTTTCACATTTCCATGCAAATTAAACATGATGGTGTAAAGAAACAATTCCAAACAGTTGGCTTGAACGAGTCCTCGGACCAATCCTACGGCGTGTGTGGTCCTGCTTTTCTTCAGTTCCCCACTCACAATTTTAATTCCTACCTGTAGGTAGGCTAGTTCCCATTTACTGTTGGACCCTTAAAAATGGACGAAAAACTTAGCCGTATATTATAACCGTAGTTTCGTCTTATCCTGTTATGTACGACCTCTCATTAAACGTGTACGGAGACATTACGGAGAAAAATACAGCTTGGGAGGAAGTAGCAGAGATCGTGGGTGCTTCTTGCTTCTTGCCTCTGAGTTTATATAGCTAGTACAGTTAGCATGTTTTGCTAATCTAAGCTGCCAACGAAGCTAGTAACGTTAATCAGACAACAAACTGTCACACTGGTCAGTACATTATTTAATGTGTTTCCCTAGTTAGCTTTATATACACTGTAGGTACTACCATTTGTCATTGGAACAAAAAAAAAAAAGCTACAAACTACAAATGACAGTTCGCTTGCTAGTGTGAATGTAGAGTAAGGATTTCCTTTAGGATGTTACAGTTTTTTTTTCTGTAATTGTCTGACCTGGTCTCTCTCTCTCTCTCTCTCTCTATTTTTTTTCTGTCTCATTTTCCCCATCACTCTTACTGATTGGCTCCTGCTGTTTCACCTTCCAAACATGGAGTCTCTACACTCATCCTCTTTGCACACCTTCACCTTAAATACCTCAGATCCCAGCTTCCCTCCATTATCCCCCCAGTCTCCTACTCTTCCTCTCTCTCTTCCTCTCCCAAACGAGCGACTAATCACACCGAAGGCACTGCATGTCCACGTTCGTTGTGAATGAGCCGCTTGTGTGTGAGAGGAAGAGCAGAGAGAGAGAGAGAGAGAGAGAGAGAGCGAGAGAGATTGAGAATGATGAATGATGAATGATTAAGATGAGGATACTGCAGAATTCAGCGTGTGTGTGTGCTTCCAGAAATCAATGGCTACTCCGTGATACATGCGGCGAACAAGTGGACGATCCAAGAGTCTCAACACAAACCAGTGCTCCATACATGCACACACACTTCCACACACACACACACTTCCACGTGATCCACTGTGCCAATTCAGCATGATTTTAATCCAATTTTAATTTCATTATTTAGGCTATTTCTTAAACACTGATTAACAGATAAGGCCAGAACCCAATATAATCCATTCCAATGCATTATTCAGTCATCTATGTAATTAATATCAACAACAAATCTGTCTACTGAAGTGCGTCAATACTGCATCATATCTCATGCATCATTTATCCTGCATCATCACGTTTTATCGATGACCAGCTCGAGCGCGTCAAAACAGCGCGTCATCATCGGTCGCCGTGGTAACCCTCCAAACCGCATGTCTAAGCTACTACCGCACTGCCATGACGTAGACCTACTACGTGCGGTGTGTGATATTAAACATTATAGTATATATACTGATAGAGGAGACAGTAACCGCCAGAGACACGCGCGTGAACCGCGCACAGCCACGCCCACTTTCTCATTCCACAACCGCGTCACGAGCGTGACCAGCGGCCGCAGTAGTACGTTACAGCTCGGTGCCCGCGTGCGGATTCCCGGTTGCCAGATTGGGAATTTTCCTATCATGTGAATACCTATTTTTAGCTAGTAGAGCTGGAGGATGTGGCAACAAACAATATTATATCTGAAGAAATCCTCGTTATACACTCTCCAAAACTGTGTTAAAACACACATTTAGTTTTTAGGACTATCCATATTTTAACACAATAACCTATTTTGTGTCATATTGTGTTAACCCTTGTGTTATGACCCATTGGCCCACATCATCGCTTTAGAATTTATACTAGAAATACATATTTAAAAAGAAAATCCAATATATCCATGCAGTGTGTATGATAAATACTAAAAGATAGCAAAGGAATGGGATATAACCATTAATACCATGTTTATTTAACCATTCTACTCCAGGATGAAAATAACCCAGAGCATCAATGTGGTAATATAAATTTTTAACATTTTTAATGCTGAATGTTTAGCACTGATAAGATGTAAAATGGGTTATGTAATACCATCATGTGTCTGCTATTAATCAGCTGCTTTTTGATTTCGTGCATGAGTCAACATTAAACGAGTCTCGTGCTTGGATCGTGGAAACTTGGAAACTAGCCTTCGCTATAGACTAGACTATAATTAAACACATATTTGTTTTTAAAATCTGCCCAAACTGCCCACATTTAATGCAAAGTAACATGCAAAGTAGTCATCTTAAAAGTAACACAAAATGTCCTTAACTGGACATGCAAGTATGTTAGCAACTAAAAGGTAGGGTAGGGCCATAATATGAACAACAACATGTTATACATTTATGAAATGGTATATATATATCGAAGAAAAGGAGTACATGTGAAAAATATGTTTTTGATGTCCAATCAGTTGTACACAGTTAGGTTCGATCCGGAGATCTGGTTACTGTCAGTGTGGCTTTTCACATGTTCTCCCCATGACTATCTGGGTTTCCTCTGGGTTCTTTGGTTTCCTTCCACCTCCCAAAGCATGTCTGTAGGTTAACCGGCTATGCTAAATTTTCTCTAGGCCTGAATAAGTGTGTGCATGGTGCCCTGTGATGGACTGGCTTCCCATCCAGGGTGTATTCCCGTGTTATCCCCAGTGTTTCTGATCCATCTCAACCCTGGCCTGCATGAAGCATTACTGAAAGTGTGCTAGCAATTTTGAACTTAAGGCCTATTGTTGTATCTTTAATTAACTTTAATAGTAAGGGTGCAAATATACTTCACTTTCACCATGTGTATATGCGTGCACGCAGCTGCTACGTGAGCGGCATTGTTCACATACTTGCATATCTAATGTATATCTTGGGGATTAAAAGCGGCGTCCACCAGATGGCACGTCAAAGCCAAAACATCTCTGTCCATCAGTCAAAATGTTTTGCGATTTCATGCACGGTAACGTTAAACAGACTGACGAGCTCCATTTCTCTTTAAACCTTTCTGCCGTTGACGTGATTGTTGTCATGATCTGCTTCTCAAATCAAAAACCCTCAAAAGTATTTACTAATCTAGAAAATCCAGAAGACTGGTACTCAAAGCCTGGTACTGGTACTTGAAGACTAGTACTTGAAGACTGGGCAGTGGTAGCTCAGTGGTTGAGGTGTTGGACTTCTGATCGGAAAGTCATGAGTTCAAATCCCGGCACTGCCACTGCTGGGCCCTTGAGCAAGGTCCTTAACCCTCAACTGCTCTGTTGTACTAAAAATAACATAAATGTAAGTCGCTCTGGATAAGGGCGTCTTCCAAATGCCACAAATGTAAATGTCAAAGCAGACCTTTCAGTAGAGTTAAGACGTTTTTAAAATTCAAACATCAACTGTCATAGGAAAATCATTAGTGTTAGTATTCAGTGATAGTCTAGAATAGTACATGAGTATGTGATGTTTTGAGACATGACGTTAGTTTGTTTAGTCAGTTGGGGACACAGTGTCACATGGTGCTATACTGACTCCACTATTTACGTTGGTGTTGCACCATGTAGACATGTTGCGTTAATCTCTGAGGAAGACACACCAAATGACCAGAGGATACACACGGCAGCCATCTTGCGTACGTGTACGTGTAGTTACCAGCAAGTATAAATCAGTCTTAATATGTTAATGTTAAACTGTATACACCTTTGGAGACAAGGAAAGGTATAGGTTAGGTGTGACAAGGAAAGGTAAAGGTTAGTACCCTGTTTTATATCAACATATTCTCCCCATTATTAGAAAAAAATAGCTTTAATTTCGTTGATTAGTGCTTTCTTAATTTGTTGATTATATACCTCTAGGCCATTTGTCTGGTTTAAGCATTCACAGTAATGAGCTGGATGATGACATTCTGGAGAGGGTTGAAACGGTGTCTCCAATCTGGCAACCCTGACTCCTGATACGCGCGTTTCACGCAGGCGAGACGGCGCGCGAGCAGAACATGGCGGAACGCCGACGAAACGCCCATTCAGCTTCTGTATCCTCGACAGGTCCAAACGCAAAATAAACCTGAAACGCCTTTCTGACGGTTTTATCTGCCGCACAGAGGCTGAAAACGCGTGTAGCGCGCGCTGCACATAACTGGCGGAGACGCGTCACGCGTCTCCCGCATTTCCCTTCGAATAAATAACACCAGACCGGCGAGAGAGGCTCGCTGTGTTTACTCTGCTCCGGTTACCGACAACCGCTGGCGGGGTTTGGAGGCGGAATAGAATCCGCGGGAAAGATCAGCTGACTTTTTCAGTGACAGAGAGAAAAAAAAAAAAAAAACCACGCACGGGCCGTCACGACAGAAGGGGCTCGCGCATGGTGTTTACGCAGCAGCCGCGCGCATCCACGTGAGCCATGGAAACAATTATGGCTAAATGAGAGAAAACAAACACAAAAAAGCAAAAACACCAATGTGTGTAAAAGTGAATTCCTCCGAGGCGGCTCGTGTTTCTAACCCGCAACTCCCCGCATCCGCGCGCGCGCGCGCACGGATGTTTGTAAGCGTATATTCAGACACAAATCGATACCAAAGCAGCTCGGATTTCACCACAACGAGCATCGCGACCATTAAACAACGTCCCGTGGCTGTATTTCACTCCCTGCTGAAAATCAAAACCCATTAATGAAATGATGCGCGGAAATAAAACGCGCTCACACACTTTAATGCAGAGGCCAGAATTCACAACAAATGCACACACCAACACCAACACCAGCACCAACACCAGCATCGCCTTCTTAAAGGATGAGGAAAAACATAATAATAATAATAATAATAATAAGAAGAAGAAGAATAATAATAAGAGGCTCTGGTTAAATCAGGAGACGTCTCGGTGTCTGTGGGTCGGCGGCGTTTTGTAAACAACAGTCATGTTCAGCAAAAAAAAAAAAAAAAAAAAAAAAAAAAAAAAAAAAAAAAAAAAAAAAAAAAAAAAAAAAAAAAAAAAAAAAAAAAAAGCGCTGCACTTCACTGCGTAGAAAAAAAAAAACAACAGTGTAAGAAAAAAAGCCCAGAAAAACATCAGCGTGTTAAATGTATGCGGTGAATATGTGAAGGTCTCGTGACGTACCGGCGGCGTTTCCGTGCGCAGATTTTCACAGCGATGAATGCAGAAGATGATGAAGATGAAGAAGAAGAAGAAGAAGAAGAAGAAGAAGCGACAAACGAGAGAATTTGCATGGACATGAATTTTAATGTCGCAGTTCTTCCTTAAGGAGCTCGCAGAGGAGAACACAACTCCTTCCCGTCACTCGCGCTGTATCATTATTTTATTATTATTATTACAATAACACATTTTTTTTTACAGCATTCCGCTCCGCCATGCTAAACAGGTACACCGCTGTTGTTTTGCGCTCACCTCGTGCACGAGCCCGCCCTCGTCTCCTCCATCCTCGCCGGTCTTCCTCCGTCCGCTGACTGACTCGTCGCGCCGATGTGACAGCTTTCCTCCGCGATCAGCCGGTCAGCAGCGCGAGGCGTCGGGAGGAAGCGCGCGCGCGCGCCCAAACCCCAACCCCTGATGACGCGCACGCGCGCAAACACACACACACACACACACACACACACACTGAACGTGTCTGGACACCCCGCGCTATCAAACGGACTATCTTTATTTTCTGATCACACACACACACACACACACACACACCCACGCACACACACAAACACACACACACGCACTTTCTCTCGGTCTCATACACACTCGGAGGACATGTCTAGACACCCTGCGATGTCAGACAGTCTATTTTTATTTTCTCTTCAGGGGCGCACACACACACACACACACGCACATACCTTAATTGAACCCCCGGTCATGTGACGGAACCGTAAATGTTGCTTATTAGTGGTTTTAAGCATTAGGTATACATCAAACATTTGGTGTAATTAAACGTGATAAATCATTTTTCATAAATCTGACTCATGTTTATTTGAAAATATATGACTTATCTATGACTTATCTATGTGTCTAGATGCTGTACACCTGAATCATCAGGTGCAACCTGATTTAAAAGTGCAGTTAAACACAGCACAGGATGTTTATGCCCACACATGGCTGAGTTAACACACATCAGGGTCTATAATGAAATCCAGATTTAAAATAAATAAATAAATATATATATAGATATATTTTGCATGGTGGCACAGCAGGTAGCCTTGCCGTCTCACAGCTCCAGAGTCTCTGATTCGATCCTGAGCTTGGGTTCCTGTCCATGTGGAGTCTCTGTGTATGTCCTACCTGTGTCTGTGTGGGTTTCCTCCTGGGTCTCTGGTGTTCTCCCACTTCCCAAAAACATGCCAGTAGATTGACTGGCTACACTGCTGATGTACTGGTGTCCCAACCATGGTGTATTCCTGCCTCACACCCTCCCAGCAAACTTGAGACGTCTGCCAGACGTTGGTCGGTCCAGCACTGTATCTGTATGTCTGCACGATGTGCAAATAAGGTTCAGTATCTGGACGTCTGACTACGACCCCTCTTGGACATAGATATGCAGTTCAATATTTAAAAGTCTAGCTAGGAGTTTTTTTTGGACATCTGTGGACGTGCAAGACAGGTGCAGGAAATCATCATATGAATTGTCAATTCAGTTCAAAAGTTGTCACTGTTAGTTGTGGTGCGTGGTTGCCTGTTGTAGCATAATGTTCATATTGCTGTGATTGTGTACCGTCCAGATATTTGGACAAATTGTTTGATGTTTTGGACATTCAGAAGACATCGTAAAAGGATGTCATAAAAACTTTCATTCTGGCTCCACAGGGGACGTCTTTTCAACATGCGACAAGACGTTCAAAAGACGTCTTTTGGAAATATCTTTGCTCAGTGGGCTCTCTCTGCAACCTTGACCTGGCTGAAGAGGGATATTAATTTAAAAAAAAAAACTCAGAACCTACACATTCACCTCATTCCCTGGTCTTACAGGGTCTACATTTGCATATTAGAACATGATTGGCTCTTACACTTTATGATGCAATAACACACACCTGTCACATGATTTTCAAATGAGATTTGCTTTTTAACTTTAAATGAACTTTGCTTCTATGAGTGTAAACACTAATACATATTTAATACTCATATGTTTTTACCCCAAAATCATTTAATCATTTAAGAACATGTTTTAATAAAGTTAAGGTCACTTTAAAGTTTTTAGACCTGTTGGAATCTCTACCAAATCTGACCTAAAAGCATGAAACCACTGTACATAAAGCTGGATGAGAATTTCAATTTTGGGTGGAAAGTTGATCTACTGTACGTTCTGGGACATTTCAGGATATGAGGTCTGCTCAATATTTGATTTGTTCTGGCTGAGTTCATTGCTGTCATTACTTGGTGGTGTGTGGTTCAAATGAAACGGGTAGATGTGGGCCAGTACTAGGGCTTTAGTCATTTGCTTTGTGGGAACGCTAAAACAATTTGTGCGAGCGTCATCAGTGGTGGTACCTCACAGGTTTAGCAAAAAATAAATAAATAAAAAATCAATCCAACACAAAAATAAAATAAAAAAAATTTTGCATTGAAGATTGAATCCCAAGTTAACACTTAAGTTGTATTTCAGTAACAATATCATGTTTTGCAGAATCATTGGAGCTAAAATTAGCTAACCATTTAAAAAAATCGGTTGTTTGACTCTAGCTAGCCAGAGCATCTTGTTCAGTCTGCTCTTCACTTTAGCCCTTCACATGTTAATAATGACATGATTGACAAGTGAAATTTACACATGTGGTTTTTAGACACTTCACATATAATGTTACAAATATTTTTTTCACAAGAAGTGCACGTTTTTATATTCACATGTAGTTTTTCCATGATTCATTTTTTTTACATATGATCTTTACGTGAGTCATTAATTTTCATGTTTTTACACAATACATTTTTCACATGATTTTTTACATAATTTGTTTTCACATGTGATGTTTACACATGATTAATTCATTTTCACATGCGATTTTTTTTACACAATTAGTTCTTTTCAACTGTGATGTTTACACAATTTATTTTCATATGTGATGTTTACGCTATTCATTTACTTTCTCATGTGATCAGTAGGACATGTGGTTTTACTTTTCACATGTGATTTCTCACACTATTAATTTCATTTTCACATGTAAGGCATGTGGCTTTGTTTTTCAGATAGATATATATATATATATATATATATATATATATTTTTTTTTTTTTTACGTGTGATCAT